TATTTAATCATTATTTCTGATTATACAGGTCCGTATTTAAAAATTCAAAGATGGGGGTGGCCCAAGTCAGATGACACCCTTTATGAAAGATTCATGAACATATTCTGATAGCTCACATCAAGTGCCAATAGCAAAATGTGGACAGATTTTCGATATATCTGCGAATAAAGAAGATATAGGCAAAACAATAATTTGGGATTTTTTTTGTTTTTCCTGTATATCTCCAGAACCAAAAGAGCTATATTCGAGTTTTTCACATCATTGAATAGGTTTCTAAAATATGCAACTTTGCCATAATTCAACCGACATCGTTTACGAGATCCCCAAGTAAAGTGGACTCCATGCTTGCAAGTTTTCTTTGAATTTTTTTCAAATCTGGTCACCCTGAAAACTATTCATCTAATGAATGCAATTATCAGACGATAATTTTGTATTTTAAACATATTCCTCACACTTTTAATTTTTTTTTTATTTTGACGCATGCCAGCATATTTTGGTTGATGAAAGTAAAAAATGTTCTTTTTGAACCTGCGCCTCATTACATAGGATAGCCTGTGACGGGCTAGATGACAATTCTAGTAAGTACCGTTCCCAGTGGGAGCAATAGCAATCGACTGCATGTACCATTTATAAAAAAATCCGGATGAAGTTTTTTTAGCGATAAATATATCACATAAAAAAAAATTATAGTGGAAATGATATTTCAGAATTATGCATTAGGTTGTTGAGATTTAATCAAATGACTGGTTGTCACCACTGCAAAAAAACTATATTGAAGTTTGTACCAATCTGTAGCATATTTTCTATTTGAAGTTGGAAGCACATGTGTGATGATGAGTGTTAGATAATTATATGCCTGTTTCATTTGTAATTCTTATTTTTCTCTTTTTTCACAGAAGAAAAAGTCTAGTAGAAAGAGAAGCCGTTCTTCATCCGAGAGTTCAAGAGACAGGTAAGGCTCTATTGGTGAAAAAACTATTTCTATTTACCAGTCACCACAAAATAGGAATGAAAAATAAGTAAGTCGTTTTCATATCACGAAGACGCCAATTTGGTTGGGGAAGCACATCGAGAAGAGAATTGCAGTTTTGATGATTAGAAAAACTGCTTGTTTTTGGAATCAGTCTACGTCAGAAAGTTCACTTTTACCTTTCACCTTTCATTGAAATACATATAGTGACCAGAAAATTTATTTTTCTGCAGAGTAATAACATTTTTTGAGTAGTAAGGATTTTACTTCATTTAAAACACAGTCAGTCAAATGAAGGGAAAAATATATGATATTCAAGTTCATTAATTCAGGTTAATTGATATTAACAAAAATGTTTAGAACTACTATTTTGGTCTGTCTGAATACGTTTTACAAAGACCATCATAACCAATATTTTTCAAATAATATATTCACTTTATATCTGCTTTTGTAGCTTAGCAGAATAACCCAGCAAGAGCTTTTATGTATGAAAAGACCTATCGGTTTTGTTAAAAGCTATATTTTACTTTGCTTTACATAAAGAATAGCACCATCAACTGAGATAGACGAGTTCACAGTTTGAGAGCTTTTCTGGTTACAGATATCTTCTCACAACTTCTGTCTTGAAAATCCATTGACTGGTTGGGTTTTACATAATTGAAGTTGACCTAAATAATCTGCAACTTTCGGATTACTCAAGTCAGAGACAACAATTAGAAGCTTTGAAACTATCATGCAAGTTGAAAAATGTGTAGCAGTTTTTTCAGAGAAAATTGTTGTTCTCCTGTTTCATGAAAGAGAGATTGTGGTATTAAATATAATTTTTACCGAATTTGATGTTGATGGTTTCAATTTTCAAAGCTTTAGTTATCACAAATCTTGAATAATATTATTAACTTGTTTTCAGTTCACCTGAGAGTATCAAAAAGTTGAAATTAGATAAACCACGAAAGAAGAGGAGAGCTAGATCACAGTCTGTCAGGGAAGAAAGAGCACCGTCATTTGAAAAACGACACGCTTCTAAAAAAGATAGATCAGTTTCTCCAAATTATACCAAAAAAACTGAAAGATCTCGAAGACATTCGAGAGAAAGAGATTATGATGTTTCATCTAAAAAATATAAAAACAAAAAATCCAGAGATTCCAAGTCAGTGGAAAAAAAGAAGAGACCCACATCAGAGTCTGCTGACAGGAAAAAGAGGTCCAGATCCAGATCGGTTACTAGAAGGCGAAAATCTAGGTCTGTGGAGATACCAAAGAGATCTGGATCAGTAGAAAAATCCAAAAAATCAAGATCCAAATCCCGAGATAAAAGAAGGAAATCAAAGTCCATTGAAAAAAGACACAAATCTAGATCTAGGTCATTAGAAGAAAAACGGAGATCTAAAAAGTCTAGGTCTCGTTCACCTAGTAGGAAGAGGAAGCTAACAGCTAGATCTAAGTCAGTGGAGAAAAAAAGATATAGATCACCGTCAGTGGAGAAGAAAAGAAATAGATCGCGGTCTGTAGAAAAGATAAGAAACAGATCCAAATCAGAAGAGAAGAAAAGAAAGAAATCCAGGTCAGTGGAGAAGAGAAGGAGTAGATCTAGCTCTATAGAAAAGAGAAGAAGCAGATCTAGGACGGTGGAAAAGAAGCGAAGATCTAGTTCTAGGACGGTGGAAAAGAAGCGAAGATCTAGTTCTAGGACGGTGGAAAAGAAGCGAAGATCTAGTTCTAGGACGGTGGAAATGAAGCGAAGATCTAGTGATAAGACTGTGGAAAAGAAGCGCAAATCTAGATCTAGGACGGTTGAAAAGAAGCGCAGATCTAGGTCTGACTCGGAAGGTCATAAAGTCAGAACAAAAAAGGTCAGATCACCTGTCTGTGAGAGGTCCAGAAGTAGATCTAAAGAGAGGAGAACAAAAAGAAGGTCCGAATCTCCATCAAAAGATATTAAATCTAATAATAGATCCAGAAGAATGAGTCCAAGAATATCCAAATCACCAGATCATTCAAGAAAATCACCTTCCAATCAGAAAAGGCTTTCCAGAAAAACTGATAGATATGAAGTGAGGAGTGAACACTCCAGTCCATCTCCTTCAAAAGAAAGTCCTCCAAGGAAGGACAGATCACCTAAAACTAGTAAGAGAAGTCAGTCTCCCAAGAAACGAGACACATCTCCAAGGAGAAGGAAATCATCCCCCCGAAAAAGGAGCGTGTCCCCTTTGAAAACAAAGTCCTCTGCTTCGAGAGGTAGTCATTCTCCTGATAACATTTCTTCCGGGAAAAAGGTGTCAGAAGCTAAGAAAGACCTAATTTTAAAAAATTCGATATTGGCTCTTTTGAACCCTGATAGAGCTGCTGAATTAGCGACATACAATGATACCTTAAAGAAATTTGAAGGTGATAGTGTTAGCGAAACTAAAAGGTCTAGGGAGTATTCTAGAGAAGATAAGTCTAAATCACCGGAGGGAATAAAACACGATTTAAGAGTTGAAAGCAGTGAAAGAAGTACTGATAAAAAGAATAGCTATGAAAAACCTTCGAGTCATAGTTCCTTGAAGAAGTTATCTCCGACTCCGGAAAATAAAATCAAACATCCTAGAAGCCCTCCAGAGAGGAATACCAAATCCAGATCTCCTAGTCCTGAAGTTACAAAGCACAAGCTACGCGAACAGTCTAAAAAGAAAAGTGCAGAAAAATCCAAACCAAAAAAACCTTTGCCAGTAGTAAGGTTGAGGGCTTCTTCTAGCGAACCGGATCCTTCCAACAGCGATGCTGAGAAAGACGAAGAAGTCGACGACAAAGAACTGAGAATGCTGAGATTATTGAAGTCTGATTTAACGGCCAAAGCAAAGGAAGCCCTCGAAAGGAAGAAAGAAAGACCACCCAGTCCCAAAATGATTGCGAAGAGGCATATTGAGCCTGATTTCTTTGACATCAAAGTTCTACCTTTGAGAAAAGAGGAAAAGTCTCCAGAGATAAATAAAGACGAATTCAATATAAAGGAGCATCGTAGTGTGAGCAAGTCTAGGTCGAGATCGAAAAGCTATTCGAAGAGTCGAAAAAGTAAATCCAGATCTAGAAGTTCATCAGCTTCGAGTGACAGGTAATTATCAAAAATAGATAATAATAGTTGAAGACATTTTTTAAAAGTTTTTTTTTAAAAACTATGATATTAATCATACGTAGTGATATGAAGAAAACAGTCTAGAGGAATAACAACCAAACCCTGTATATTCTTGAGTCGAGCGGTGAGCCCAAATTTTACAGGAAATAAAAATTATAACAAAATTATTGAGAATGGGGAATGTTCCTCCTGACGAAAATCAAGTAGTTTTCATAAAAGAGCTTTAAAACAACGCATTTTAAACTTATCATTTTCAACCTTTTTCTTTAAAAAATTATTCAAATACTTGAAAAGAGGAATGAAGTAATGCATTCAACATTTAAAGGAATTCGTTTCTATTTCACCAGTTGGCAACATCGGTTATAGATAATAAAGGACAATGAATCTGTTACCTGTATGAGACAAACAAAGATGACATATTTCAGAGGCGTGCTCTTCTGTTTACTTATGTTCCGAGTTCCGAGACATTCTGTGACATATGACATTTTGTGCACCTAACCTATCTTCCTCTAGGTAAATAAATAACAAAACAACTGTTGTTTATGTGGCTTGTGGAGGTGGTATTGAACTATAATTTATATTTTGCCTTAATTGTTGATTTATAAAGATAATTTTCCTTTTTTAAAATAGAATATCTAGGTACGTATAAATTATTTCAACTTGATATAGGCACTGTTGCCAATATGTGAATTAGAAACAAATCCCTTTAAAAATTAAAACCCAACATTTGAAACATCAATTTGAGTACTTTTTGAAGTGAATTTGAAAAACTCATGAATTAAACTCAACTTTATTTTGTTCAAACTTGCATATGCTGTAATAATCCAAATTGAGGAACACTCCCCATTCTGCCAATAGTGGACAATCATAGTCATAGTCATCAAATAATATTAGGTTCAATAATTATAGGAATTTTACTTTTAATAAATGTCGATAGCAAATGAACACTTAACTAAAGTAAACAATACAAAAGTTTCGATTTTTCTGATAGGATACTAATTCCTCAGAATTTCTCATACCTTGCTTTGAAGTGGGTTAGGAAATATTTTCAGTCACGACATTAATTAGAGGTTGTGTAATTTTTATCATTTATTCTGGTTCATTGAGGATTCAACAACTATATTTTTGATCATTTTTACAGTTCTAAAGGCAGAAGCAGATCATCATCTTCCAGCAGTAGCGCTTCACGCTCAAGGTCGAGATCAGTTTCTAGGTCACGCAGCAGGTCGAGCTCAGTGAGTAGTTCATCTAGCTCAAGTACGAACCGCTCCAGGTCGCCCTCAATTCCACGAAGACACGGTTCGCCCAGTTTTTTGGACAGAAGAAGGATTACGAGGTAGATTTTGTTTTTACAAATAATTCTTCAGCATGAGTACCAGTTGAAAGTGGTAATGTGCCTAATTTCATTGACTCAGTCTTTATTTTTTTCTTTTGGTAAGTGATTTGTTCATCAATAAAAAATTAGAAATATGCAGGTACTTATACTGAAGAATTAGTTTTCGTGTAATGTTAGCAAGCACTTCGTTTTTAAATGTTTTATTTGCATTCATTTTTATTTTATTTTTATTTCAGACACAGGTAGTTTTGGAGATTGAAAGTGGAAATGTTCATACTGTATTTATTGTTGTGTATTCCGATTTTCAAATACAAAGGTAGCGTTTGTATACAATAAAAGTTGATCTAATTTTAATCGTATTTGATTTTATTAGCGATAGTTGTAGAGGTAAGTTGCATGATTTTTGATGTGCTTTTTATTAAATGCTAATTTCTGGTTTGCCGAAAAATTTAGAATGTCAATTTTTTTTTACGAAAAACTCATTTATATTGAAATAAAAAATTGACATTTTACGAATTCCAAAATTTGCCGACTAATCGATACTAACAACCCTTACTAACAGCGCAAGGAAGAGGCCTATACCTTACACAAGAGCCTCTCCATCTTCTCCATCATCTGAGAGCAGCTACAGCAGCGCAAGCCCTTACTATTCACATCAAAGATCGACAAGCCGATCTCCTAGCCGACGGTCTTCTAGGTCTCACTCCCGCTCACCCATTCGCTCTTCAAAATCCCCCTAGCGTTTAATTGATTGCCTGAATGAAGTCATAAAAAAAGTGCAATAATTTTCTATGTAATACTCAATGATATTTGTTTGGGTTGATTTTCAGTTCACTGTGGCATCTGAGCTTTTTTGTTTCCCTGTATAGTTACTAGATATAAATCGTTTGTATATAGTTTGAAGATAATTCACCCAAATACTCGGCCATGATTGACTGACTTTATCAGGGGACAATCAAGAGATATTCTAACATTCTTTGTTTGATATTCAATAATTCAAATCATGACATGAGAATGTTTTACTTTAGCAGAGATTTACGCCCATCCTGTGAATGCTCGTTTTCACTAAAAATGTTCATTTTCAAAAACTGCTATATCGAAAAAGTACAGCCAAGGAAAAATGAAGTTTCATTTCCTTAAAGCTAAAAGAGGTGATGAGGAAAGATAATATTTTTGTAGGTAATGCTGAATTAGGTGGGATTTCACCTGTTTTCATAAAACCTATTGAAAGTTGAAAAGGAATACTTATTTTACCGTGTTAAGTATACCAAATAATATATTGATATTAATGTGCAAATTAATAATTTATAAAATTATTTTCCAAAGTCACAAACTGAATGTGCAATTTTTTTTTAGTAATCTAGTCAATACTCTAGTCAAAGTACTTGTTTTTGTGTGATATTTTTCAATTATTAATTTAATTTATTGTATTTATTTATTTATTCAAGAAAGCATGTAGATACTAATAAATATTACTAATATGTTCACTTTTGTTATTTTCCACTAATCACATAAAATGTTTAAAGCTTCAACCTAAAAAGTCTGTTTTTCCTAAATCACAAGTTTCATGCCAGGTGTCTCTAAATTGGTTTTGAATTGTTTATACATTAGCAAGCTTTCATAAATTATTCAGAACAATACAGTACAAATACTTCAAATCACCCAACATACCTACCCAGTAGGTACTGGTAAATACCTACCGGAAAACAACTACTTTCTCGGCTAATACCACGTTGGATATTGACTTATATCCGACAGGTATTTATGCAAAATACCTCACAGAGGTTAGTCTTGCAGATATTTCTTGTTTATCCAGCAATAGGACCACACCGAAATCATTCAAGAAGATCACCTAAAGACCGGTTTTGAGGTAACGAGTAACAGTTCCATCTCGTGAAAAAAACCTCAAGCGGGAAAGAAACATCCCATTAGATTTGAATAATCCAATTCATTTCTCACTGATGAAGTTGAAATAAGTTAATAGTCCGATTTTTCTATTATAATGATCAAATGATTTAGTTAATCGACATTCAAGGAAAACGTTTTGTTATTAAATTTAGTGCTAGTGCAACTGGAGAAGCTATTATACAACAAAACATTTATAGCTTACAAAGGTGAAAAAATAAAAAAAATCACACTTGGATGAAAAGTGGGAGGGCTACATACCAAATTGCTTCGAGAAACGATCTGTCAAAAGATGGCGCCACATCTGAACTACGGTTACACGCTCAAAAAGAAAGGATAAGTAAATCACAATTGCCTTAAGAAAATAAAAAACATCAGTCCAAAGGGTAAGGGAGCCAGGCTCCAACCTGTCTGAAATCAAGACGACGTGCAGGAGAAAATCAACTGATGGCGCCACATCTGGACTATGGTTAAACGCTCACAAAGAAAATATAAGTAAATCACACTAAGATGGGAAGAAGGAACCGAATTTCCTCAAAAAACGATTTAACAGATATTTTTTCAAGAAACGATGTATCTACGGTTAAACGCTCAGATGGGAAAGGCGGGAGGGTTATATCCCAATTGCCTCAAGAAATGATTTAACATATCTTGCCTCAATTAACGATCTATCAACAAATATTCCAAATTACCTCAAGAAACGATATATATCGACAGATGGCGACTCATCTGGACTATCGTTAAAAGCTCACAGTGAAAGGATAAGTAAATCACAGTCAGATGGAAGGGTTATGTACCAAATTGCTTCAAGAAACGATCTATCAATAGATATTGCCTTGAGAAAGGATCTATCAACAGGTGGCACCACATTTGGACTACCGTTAAACGCTCACAGTTAACGGATAAGTAAATCATACTAAGATGGGAAGGTGGGAGGGTTATATACCAAATTGCTTCAAGAATAACAGATATTGATTGCAATAACAGATAATTGCCTCAAGAAAGGATCTATCAACAGATGGCGCCACATCTGGACTACCGTTAAACGGTCACAGTGAAAGGATAAGTAAATCATACTAAGATGGGAAGGTGGGAGGGTTATATACCAAATTGCTTCAAGAATAACAGATATTGATTGCAATAACAGATAATTGCCTCAAGAAAGGATCTATCAACAGATGGCGCCACATCTGGACTACCGTTAAACGGTCACAGTGAAAGGATAAGTAAATCATACTAAGATGGGAAGGTGGGAGGGTTATATACCAAATTACCTCAAGAATAACAGATATTGGCTCAAGAAAGGATCTATAAACAGTTGGCGATATTGATTGCTGATTGAATAACAGATATTGCCTCAAGAAAGGATCTATCAACAGATGGCGCCACATCTGGACTACCGTTAAACGGTCACAGTGAAAGGATAAGTAAATTACAGTTATGGTAATGTTACATACCACATTGCTTTAAAAAAACGATCAAGAGATGGCGCCACATCTGAACTACCGTTGAACGCTCACAGTTAAAGGATAAGTAAATCACTAAAGATGGAAAGGGAAGGATGGTTACATACTATTGGTTGATAAATGTTCAGCTTTTAGAATTTTTTGACAAAATAAATAAACGGAATACTGACATTTCTTTTATTACATAAGTACATAAACATCAAGAAATTGATAATTTAGGAATACAAAAGATATTTACAATTATTTACAGTGTCTATATCGACAACTCTACATCTAATTTTATAAATACTTACAAAATAAGAAATTAAAGAACATTGACTAGATAAAATAAGTTGCAAATATTGACAATATCGAAACTTGGTTTCGTAATACTTTGCCAATCAAAACATTAAATACAAGCCGTTCAGGCTAGCAACAAAATCTTCCACAAACATACAACCGACTCCGCGTTCTTCTGAAAAGAACATCCGTTCATGCAGCTACTGACAATTCCATCAGAAGCTAAAAGGACCCCACCTAGGATCCTAGCCTGTCAATTCATCAGAGTTTGGGTACATTTCGTTCAAGACTTCACCCTCACTTCCGACAGGGAGCTGGTGAAACGGTCCTTTCTATTATCAGGTGGTGGATTCTTTATGTCCTCAATGATCTGTAAAAAAATATTATTATTGCAGTGATTTTATTTGAAATAAACAGTGATTGAATTTGAGATTTGCCAGACTAAAAACCAAAGAGCAGCCCCTCCTCGTGATTTCCCTGCACCCAAGGTCTCCTGTGGTTAACAGTCTTTCCTTCAGGTAATTTGTTGGTTTTTGCAAAATCTATCAACCAAACTCCAACCTTGGTGTCATCATAAATAATGAACAAACTGCTCCCAACTACTTCTCTGCTCTTGAAGTAGTCCGAATTCTCAATTTTGCTACGGATCTCGCACAGTCTTGCCAACAGTCTTTGTCTCACGTCCTCTCTCCCTCCTAAGAACCTGTCCAGAGTGTTGAAAACTTCTGCGCTGGACTTCACTTTTTTCAAGTCTGTTACGGGAGGCGAACCTCGGCACTTCATGGCTTCGATTCTGAAACCTTGGCTGCAGCTGGACGACTGAAGTTCGCGGAATTGCATGTAACGCAGTTTTGTGACTGCCTTGACACGATGTTCCTCCTCTGTCGGTGAATGGGGATCGATTGCTACCATCTTCTGGTACAAGTCAGGTCGAGCTGCTGATTTTCTGACTTCGGATTCCAGGAAGGTTCGGGTTCCCATTTTGATGTCAATGACATACGGGTCCTGAAACAACATAGAGAACATGAATATCGTTTGATACACTACAGTACGTGTTTTCTTCTTTTTGACATGAAAGTTGAAAACAGTAGTGGTTTATGCAGTGAATGAATGTTACCAAAATCAATTCAACTTAATATTCATCTTCTAATAATTACCTGAAAGCCATGTAGCAAGTCTTGTAGCTCAATGAATTTCTCTCCTTGGTACTCCACCTCACGGTAATATTTTGGTATGATGTCGCAAAGGTTCGGATCTTGGGAAATTTCCTCATATACCAAACGTTCAGTGTTATCGGAACTGGGTGATCTCTTCTTCCAAACCGTACCAGGACCAGCTGGTGCTAAACTATCAGGATGACCACTCAGTTGGAACCAGTTGCTACTTCGACTTTTCAAAAGAACGTCACTGGCAGGAGCACTGAGATCTAGGGCATTCTGCAACAAAGAGAAGATATGTTCAATATTTACGTGAAAAAAATATTTCAATGATCAGACAGTAGCCAGACTCATTCGATCAACAGTTATGTGATCACTGTTTCGATCCCAACTGCGGAATCAACGATGTTCACTGCCTATTATCCGATTCCGGCTAGATATCGTATGTGAAAAGATGAAACCTTGTTAATCCATAGCATACAAAAGTTCTTGACAATTATCATCATCTTTCTTATTATTACACAACTGAATACTAAAGTTTTTTTGAAGGGACATTCATCTTTGGTAATTAGAATATACAAAATACTACATTTTCCCTAAAACAAACTTTGTTAAGAATTTTTCATCTTTCCCTCCAACCGATTTCCTAGAGTCTTTGAAGTCCACTAGATACTCGTTAGGACATAAAGAGGATTGTTCCGAATTCTTTGAGTTCTTGTTGAATACTCTTCGTGAGCAAAACAATAGCAAAATCAATACTCCTAACCGCTCTGGATTGAATGATTCAGTACAGTCCATCTCGTTTTGTGTTTGTATATCTTTTGCTGAAAAAATCCTCACTTGTTTACTTTGTAGCAAATGTTCAAGAAGTAGCAAAAACTTATGTGAATTTCTGGAACTCCATCTAGCGTTCCCTAATATGACTAATAACCGGTCCGTGCAAAGGTTATTGTTAAATCATCTGAAAATGGAATTTTTAACAGGTGATGATCGACTGTATTGCCAAACTAACTGCCTGATATAAGAAAACAAGTCTAGCTGAGGCACCAGTCAATCTAATGATCTTCAAACAAGACTCAACCTCTGACGGAAGCACGAAACTCTTTCGAAGGTTCGAAATAGATGAACATTTCAATCTAGCAGACCACTATTATAATATTCATGCAGTCATTGTTCACTGCAGTTCTGGCGTTGAATTTGGCCATTATTACGCCTTGGTCAAAGACGAAACGGACTGGTTAAGTTTGACGATAGTCGTGTCACGAAGTGTTCTGGCGATGTATTGAATCTATTGGAGCCTCTAGAGACACCCTACATTTTGTTTTATGAGAGAGAGGACATTGGCAGATCAAGATCTTCAGATGATGTGGTGCTGCAGGTTTTTCCGGGTTTTCCTGCAGCTGAAAAAGCAAATGCGCCACTGGAATCAATGAAGTCGCCCCGGAGCGCAAATTAATTTTTATTGTTGCTTTTATTTTTATCGTTGTTTTATAATTTCACAAATAAAAGTGGGATTTTCATCAATATATTTTCGATACAAAATTTATAGATCTGTCCTGTTCAAACATATTTGAAAAACAAATAGGTTTACATTCCACAGGTAAATTTTAGCAATATTTCTAACGAAGTCTTTTTGCCCGAATTTTATTTTCACGTGATCATATTTTTCATTAACTATTACTTTTTTTTTGAAGCACCCTTGAAATTTATCTAGTACAAATATTTTTCACAATTCATGTTGGATTAGTTTTCGTTTTTGTATGTGTTACTATCTGAATTGATACAGTGCATATACAGGCAGGGCAGGGCAGGTCAGTACCTGCCAATTTGTAACAATACGAATCATGATATGTTTGTTCAATGAATCCCAAGGTACTAGATACTGATTGTCGTTGAATATAATCATGTCACATTTGATAATAATATGAATTGTAATTCATAAACCCAACTATTTTAATAGTTGTCCAATTCAAACAAGCGGCATGCATCTTATTATTGATCAATAATGATATTTTTACATCTGTATGTATTTTTGATTATTTCGAATACAAACTCAACAAAATAAGTAACTAAAACATTCACCCTCACGATAACAAAATACTGAATGAATGCAACCATCTATTAGTTACGTTGATTTTTAATATAAGGTCGAATAGGTATGGAAATTCATTTATCGAAATATATTCATGAATGAACTCAATATGATGAGCTTCACGGCTATGTTTCATTCATATATGTAAAAATTCAACCACATACACCATGCATAAGAAATTGCCCTCGAGAACAGCAATCAATCAAAATTAAAATTGGACGACATAAATTGAAAAGCACGTGTCAACTGAAGCGCGAGTCACAATAATACCAATTTAAAAATAATGACAACAATCAACACCAATAATAAAATTATGAATTCCAAGTTCGAAATTTGTTTTTATTTCATATAACCATTCAATTGAAAGAGAAAAAAACCGTATATATCTGCAAAAACAGTTTCATGCTCAAGCCACACTGAATAATCATTAATTTAACACGATCGGACTTCGTGTTAAGACAAGAATGTTTTCTTTATCTAATCCGTGTGTTTGGGTTATGTTCAATGATTTTTGTATCCGTGTGAAATATGTGGACTTGATACAAAATATGAACTACTTTAGGGTTCTTACTGTAGAAGACTTCACAAAATAAGTCCTACTTTATAAAAAAGGGCAAGTGGAAAAAGGAAAAATTGAAATTAGAACACAAACAAGGTTGGTCATCCTGAGACAAAACGGAGGAGTAATTGTTCTTGTAGAAGTAGAAGTACAGAACGGTACCGGGGTGTTTCCCCTCGTTAGTGCAGGACATTTACAGCAGGAATTCGACCGATATGTGAAATCTTCGTCTGAGATATAACCTAACCTGTTGATTATAGTGAAGAAGTATCAGCAAAACTTCAAGCGAAACAGAAGCACTCCGTGTTTCAAAACTTCAACAAAAATCAAAACTAGTTTGATTGTGTCGAGGAGACATACCTACTCGTATACGAATCAGGAAAATAAATATTTACAAATGATTCCAATATTTACCATTTTCAATATATCTATGTAACTGATTCATTGTATTTAAGATAGCAGAGAGAAAGTTTATGTGACTGAAGAAGAAACTTCCCCTCTGAGAACATTCCCAATGGAAATATCATTCCAAATACGAAAACGAGATATCTTGTAGTAGTTTTCTCCATACATTTACTCCATTATCCCCGAGTTTTGAAGCGCTACCTTCCGGCAATAGTCCCTTTCGAATACTAAACAGCCTTCTTTACTGAATATTCCTCAGCTGACCTCATGTGAAGGCTAATGTAATTTGTCACCCTAGAAACGTCTACTAAACGATAGGCTCTTGTTAATATTCCTGTTTTTTATTGTAAATTTGGCGATTTACGTAGTTCGTTATCGATTTTGGCTTTGTGACATACATAAATTAGCAATTAAGAAACCTTTTCCATAACTAACTCAACCTCATCAGTATTGCTCGAACGTGTTTGCTGACGTATATTGGAAATATAATTGATATGCGCGTGACTTTGTCTGATACAAATTCGTTACTTGCTGTAAAGCCGTCTAATAACACTCTTGATAGTTATGTCATTGATTTTAGGCTAATATTAAATTATTTTTTCTTGGTGGCGACAACTCGAATGATAATAGGGCGGGTGGTTGCACTGTACCGAAATTATGAAGTTTAATCTCAAATTGGGAATGGTTTTGTCTAATATTCCACATAGGTTAGGTCTAAAGTGAAAGGGTATATTCGACCCTCCACCGCAACCCGCAAGGGTTTATTGTGGCTCACACCTATTCACACTCGACCAAATAAACCCAGCTTCTTAACGAAGCTGATTAGTTTGTATGGTAAGATGGTAAGAGTACGGCTCTGATGAACTCTAAAAACCTGATTCGGTTCCAAGCGGGGCAGGCACAAAGTATATGCTCTGGTGATTCATCATTTTGCTACCAATTTAGACGTTCCTCGGTAGGAGCCAAGAGCTTCCAACGCCGCTTGACTGGACTATTTAATTGCCAGATATTGGAGTTGAAAATGGAATATAAAATATGTTTTGCAGAATAATTGAAAAAGCACTGACAATTTCATTGAAATTTTAGGGTGTTCGGGGCAGTATGTAATTTGATTTTCATTAATTTGTCGACTGCACCAACTGATGACCCATGTGTATTTTTTCTGTGTCCCAACTGTAACATAAATATACTCATACAAACGTTCAAATTTCCACCAATTTCACTTGGCAACAGATACAAATGATAATTTGTTTTTTTATAATTGAGATAAATTATGGATGACTTGCAAACTCGTTTAATCTCTCAACATAATTTGTTGGTAGTCCTTGATTTACAATTAGCGTATATTTCCCCTTCAGTTTCAATTACCGATAGTAAATCTCGTTGACGACTGACCGAAAATCATTCAAAAACCAGAGTACATAAAAGGAAACGTCAATTTTTATTTCTTTTCAGACCAAATGAGGCATTCAGTGTTGAAATAAATATAATAGAGGAAGCACTTCACGTTTATCAACGCACATGTTTATGACTCTGCTGGGAAGTGATTTGCAATTCACTGCACAATGATCAATCAGCAATTGCAAATAATATATTTAGAAATGTAAGATAAGTTAATAAGCTACATGAAAATGACCGTTGGATATTTTTATTTGAATGCTGGCATTGCCTGTGCGTTGGACAGTAAACTTATTTACTTGTAAACTTGTAAATACCACGCGTGCTTTTTTCGTATTTTTTTTTTCAATAAAAAATTGCGTATGCAAACAAATAAATCTAATTAAAAACCACTTCACATTTATGTCTGTTTTCATGTTAATATTGACGTTTGAGTGCGCGTGTTATTTTTGTTATTACTCAATGAAAGTGTAACTAACCTCCCATTTAAATTACTTTCACATTGTTGGCGAGCCTGGCTAGCCTTGATAATTTTACAGTAATTTCACACATAATGAGCTTTTTTCATTTTTTGACTATTCATGAAGTGGCTTTTACATAACGTAAAAAATTTGAATGTCACTTCGTTTACCTTTTGGATATCAACATACCAACGACAATTATAGCCGAAAACTTTCAAAAACAAATTTCGTAACTAAAATAATGTTACGTTTCTCCCCGTGGGTTGACAAATCATTGACTACACTGAATAATCAAACTTAACTTTACTTCACTAAAAAAACAACAACACTTCAACTAAAACTTTAACTATTATTTGAATGTCTATCGCATTACTGGATCACTTCGCGTACCGCACTATAGCTTCCACTTGACTGTCTCGATATGGTAGCATTAATCTCGCTGATTCGCGCGCTCTTAGCTACGTCACAATTGGTTTATGGTTACCAGTGGCGGCCGACGTTATTTTGTTTCGGGCATGATTTACAACAATAAGAAAAATAATGTTGAACTGATGACTGATTTCTTGAAGAGATAATGCCGTTTTAAAAAACCATACCACGTATTTCGTTTTGAATTTGTTATTTTTTCGATACAGTAGTTTCAATTTTTTATTCAAGTTTTCGTTTTTTTTATTTAGAAATTTATTATTTCCAGGTATGTTGCAAATTTATACCATTATGGAGAATTTTCTTCTCTTGCAAATGAAGAATGAACGTGTTTATCAGATTACAATACAATTCATTTGTAGGTTAAGAATTGCATTCTCAGTGAATTTTTTGAAAATATCAAACTTTGTTGCACACCCAAAAAATGGATAATCACTTTTCATTTCAAAGTTACAAAAGACTAATTTTCTAATGTTTACATCCAAAATAGACAACGCCAAAGAAATGATATTTCACATATACCTATCTTAATCCTCCCGATACCCCGTCTATAGGTATGTGTTGTTTGAATTGTTTATCAATCAGAAAATGCTGCTCAAGTATTAGTGACATCAGGTAGAAAAACTCGTACACATGAATCACATTAAGTTGGTTGAAAAACCATTTCATTAATGAAAAAATACAATTGTCAATGAATCATAAATTTGCCACAAAAACTAACAAGTACAAGTACGCATACAAAGTCAACGATTCCGCTCAATCATTCAACGGGTGATAAAAAAATACGAAATAGTAACTTACAATTGCCAAAAATTTAAGCAACGACATATCCTCTTCCGTTCTGTCTTTAGAGTTGATAGCCAACATGGATCCATTGATGCCATTTTTCGATTCTGCAGCTTTCAAGTTGGACTTGATCCGCCATCTTTTGAACGCATTGTGCGGTGAAGGGGATCTGACTGTCTTTCCATGTCGTTTCCATAGATCAGCCACCTCAATGTCTTTGTCGCTTGTCTGCAAATAAAAGAATGTCACATGAAAATTACTGCACAAGAATTGGATAAAACAGGTCGATACTTAAAAGTGTCGCATCTTACAGTAAATTCACTTGAGATTTTCATTATAAGGGCTTTTCAAAAACCGCGATATGTGTCGCGTCTCACGGTAAATTAACTGTAAGATTTTCATCACGAAGTTTTTTCAAAAAACCTCGTGGTCAAAATCTTACAGTATCTCTTACAGTAAATTCATTGTAAGATATTCACTAGAAGGGTTTTTCAAAACCTTGACACGTATCGCGTCTTACAGAAAATTTACTATAAGATTTTCACTATAAGACTTTTTCAAAAACCGCGACACGTGTCGCATCTTACAGAGAATTTACTGGTACATCTCCGATATGAAAGTTTTTCACAAACCGCGACACGTGTCGCGTCTCACAGTAAATTTACTCTGTAAGATTTTCATCACAAAGTTTTTTCAAAAACCTCGTGGTGAAAATCGTACAGTATCTCTTACAGTAAATTCATTGTAAGATATTCACTAGAAGGGTTTTTCAAAACCTTGACACGTATCGCGTCTTACAGAAAATTTACTATAAGATTTTCACTATAAGACTTCTTCAAAAACCGCGACACATGTCGCAACTTACAGTAAATTCACTGTAAGATATTTACTATAAGGGTTTTTAAAAAACCGTCATACGTGTCGCGTCTCACGGTAAATAAGCTGTAAGATTTTCGATAAGGGGGTTTTTCAAAAACCACGACACGTGTCGCAACTTACATTAAATTCACTGTAAGGGTTTTTCAAAAACCGTCACACATATCGCGTTTGACAATAAATTGTATGAGTTAGTGTAGATTTTTGTTTTGGGTTGAACTGCCCAAGAAATGTACTTTACGTTCAAGTAAAGTAAGCACTGTAGTATGAACAAGAGTGTTCATAAGATACAATTGGGGAGGAAACAAAAATTATGTCTATGAAGATAGAACCACGTCCTGTGAGTATTTTGGAAATCTCGCTTTCTGATAAACGTGTTCTTATGTTCTGAAAAAAAAAAAAGAATTCTACGCGAAACTTTCCATTGATATCTGAACAGAACTGATGTATTTCTCATACAAGTTCCATCCCAAGACACTCAAACATCATTTACGAAGTCGATGAACAACAGATATCTATTGAACGAAATGTCATTTGCAATCGAGAAATTTCCTATTAAATCGAGACTAATTTCAGACTGTCCGTCGGTTTCATTTGGTACAGTGGATAAAAAACGAATCAGACATCGGCTAAATCATTGATGAATTTGGAGTAAATTACCTCTTTTAAAGCGTTTAATAAATATGCTTTCATATTCATCGAAATTTTCGTAGGTGAAGAAGGTGATGTTTCTATCTCTTGACAGTTTTCCAAATAATCTACAAACCAACTCAAGGAAGTCAATATATCAATTATTCATCACTTAATAAGTTTCCACCCTGTACTCCTTCCTAGTACCATCGCAAATATTTATAACGTTTTTTATTGTACTGATGATTAGTCCGGAACGTTATCCGTCGTCCATAAGGAAATATAAACAGTTTATCTACGCATATTTAAACAAGAGAAACGATTAATGTTCATCAAGATTTATGCATTGCTGGTATAAGGATCATATTTTTCTTGAAACTAGCCACACGGCCGCGGTTTACGCAGATATTGTATCAACTAAACGCCAAACATAAACATCCACGACGATGTGATCGTCCTAAGAGAAACCGTATGACGTTTTCGAGATCGTATTAGGAAACGGTAATCTTGATTCAGAAAAATGTAAAGGTCGATATCTCACTAGGAGAAAAGATAAACAAACACTTCCACGCATTCCATTCTAGTTTAATATATTAATTAGCGAAGAGTAATTGTTCGCATTTAAATAAATCGACAATTAACTTAATCTAATTGAGAATTGTGATTTTCTTGCATTCCCGAGTAAATGGAAAAATACATTCCTTTATGTAATAGAACGGAACAGTATGTTCGAGCACGCATATGATGTATACGTTTTGGTTTGTCTGAAATTTCAATACATACATACATACATAATACAATACATAGAAACATCCCTTTTGTAATATGATGAATTCGTTTTGGTTTGACTGAAATTTCAATACATTTTTTTATATACCTACGTGGTGGTCGCCAAAAAAAAGGTACAAATGTATGAAAATAAGTTTTCGAGAAAAGCGTGTGTAAGGTCTTGATATCATTGGTCTGAGTATTTGTGACCTCATTCCTTCAATCTGTGATGTTTATTCTCGTTATAGTGTGGCTTCAGCTTCAGTTGTAGCTTGTGGGTAGCTTCAGTTATCGAGTTTGCAGCTGATTAAAGTAACCTTTTTTAAATAACTTTTTCGTTCCTGGGTTTTCTATCTCATTAACACCACAAATGTTTTCTCTCAGTTTCGTAATTTTAGTGAGAATTTTATCGTGAAACAAGTTCCTTATAAATTATTCTCACTGCAAAACACCATGAAGCTAGCTTTTTATTAAGGGGTTTCAATGTGTTCGACGAATTTTAGTTTATTGTCAATTATTACCCCCAAAAATTTAGAACTAGGTCTGGTTTCAACCAGAATTTTCCTTCTATATCGATACATGTTGAATCGTTAATGTATTACAGGAAAAGTATCGGTCCCAATATTGAACCTTGTGGTACGCCACTTTTTATTTCACCTTCTGATGAGAATGATGAGGTTTTCACAATCTGACTTCTTTCTGTGAGATAATTCTTGAACCATTTAAGAACGATTTTGAAAAAACGAAAGAGATTCAATAGGCATTGATGAGATCAAACGTCAAAAGAAGTAGAAAGTTACTTGAGTCGGTATAAAATTATTTCGATGGTGATTAAAATGATTACTGAAGAAGACGTAATAATAACCAAGTGGAACTAGCACAAAAAACTTACTACCATTCATTATTTGTCAGGAAAATATTGATGACAAAAGAATATGAAACATTTTTCGTGAAAAATGCGATTTTCTATAAATATGAAAATGGAAAAAAGTTACAGGAGTGCCAAGGCTGATGAAAAATATGTATGGAAGTTTCAACAGATATTTGTCAACAATACTTAATCAAATTCAATTTTGTCACAGAAAAATGATTGTAAAATTAACAGTTACTACAGAGTGTGCGAAAGAATATGTGTGTGTTATTTATTTATCGATTTATATCCGACTTTATAAGGAATCAATGGACAATATCGACCGTCATAATGTGGATACACCTTTGAAATAATTACTATATCATAGGCAGCAGAATTGGAAAACACTCTAAAGTTGTGAAGCGATGTGAATACAACATTGTAATGAAGTCCAAAATTTGATTCTTCAATTACTTCGAGAATAAAAACCGCAAACAGATAGGTTTCGAATCGCAAATAAACAAAAAAAAGCATGGAATATTCCGTTTTACGTATGCAGCAGACGCTTTCCTAAACTTGTTTCCAGAATCAATCAACGAAAACGATCAGCATTAGCATGTTAATCCTTCTTCAAACACTAACCTGTTAAGACTGTTTGGACAACACTCCAAAATGTTAAAAATATTCACGATCATTGTAAACATTTTCAATCATATAAACTTGCATTATTTTGTAGTCATTAGGTCAAATTCCAATGCAGATGTAATGAGTATGATGAAGAATGACCAGAGGTAAATCTAAACTGTTCAGGTTTTCATCTGAGTAATTTACTTTTTCCCACACTTTACGTAACCATGTTGGCATCCACCAAATAAACCAAATTTGTTATTGACATCAGCCTCAATTTAACGACTAGGTACCCCATCAATATTCAAGCGTTACAAACTGAAAATTATCATCCAAGAATTTAAAACCGTACTTTATGAAACTCTATATGCACAAACAACCAAAAAAACACACGATGAATGCGTCAAACCGTTGTACTCGTGTTTTGAATCGATTAAATATCGTTCAGTCAAAGAATCGAAGTCTTCTTTATGACAAACATTCTTTCTTGCCTTGTTATGTTTTCATCATTCTGAGAAACCAAGGATATATTTGACGTGTCCAATCACCTCCAACACTGTTATTATAATTGAATAATACAAAGTAGGTCGGCACAATAAACAAATCAAAGGTGTTTTTTAACAAAGACAACAGTAGAAAGGAAGAAAATGGTGAAAATGAACAAACCATAATAATAATTTGAGCTTGATGACTGTCGATTGAAGATAATTATTATGGAAATGACAGGAAATATCAAAATAGAATGCGACTCCACAATGTTGGTACTTAAAGATGAGTGTTTTAACTAATGTGCTTGTTAAATCACAATATTTTGGCACTTAATTAGCATGTGTTGGGTAACGTCACGCAATACGTAATAGGCACTTTACCAAATACAAACTTCAAATGGACACGAATCATTTGAAACCACTATCAGTACCGAAAAGTGAATTTTTTAGATATTCGTGACCTCAATACTTAATCGCATCCTGCGTTCCGAGGACAAATAAGGTACCGTTGGAGGGATAAACAAATGCCCTAGCGTTATCAACAAAGTATGCGATAAAACACATCCTTTTCTCCTACAAGTAAAAAAAAGGAAGATAAAATTCGATTCTTTTATACTGTACGAATAGCTGTGGGCACTTCATATCTCACAGTAAGTAAATTTTATATCGTAATCATAAATTTCAAATTGGAAATGGCTCTATCTGATGTTACACCATACTGCAAAATTTGAATTGCCAGATATCAAAGTTGAACAATGAAATATAATATATGTTTTCACAGGATTCACAAAATCGTAACAAGGGGCTAACTATTAGTGATTTTCAAGAATAAAAGTAATTCTTTTTTAGGTTATATTGTTCGGAACAGTAGCCACATCAGTTTGCTCATTATTTCATCGTTCAACCGTATTAATTTCCTGCCAGGTGCATAGACTGACAGTTGTTTTACATGAAATTAGAAAGCTTTCCAATTTACTGTGAGAAAAAAATCTGTTAATTATCCTAACGAGGTTACTTTCTACAATGAATTTTGTCGCTGTTAGATTTGATTGGTATCTTTCCAAACGATGAGGGTGACTCTCAGTGCTTTTGAATTTATTTTTGAGAAGTATTGAAATTGAAATTAAAATTCTGAAAAAAAAACAAGAAGATCACTTCCCGTTCGATGTATTTGTGAAGATAATTAGAATCCTGTCATGGATAGTTCTATTTTATAGTTCATTTCATTTTAATTTGTATCTAAAAAATAAAATGAATGTAGACACCAAACCAATACAGTATGTAACGGAAAATATGTAGAATCCAAAGTGCTGATACTTAAAAATAACGCACATGTAAACACACACACAAATTATGTAAAAATTGTGCCGAAGGAGCACTTAAAAAATTCTCCTAACAATATATTTCCGGAAAATATTTTTTGTTGTATAGACTTTGGAAGATCCCGGGGGGAAGTGCCCAAAGGGCAAATAGATAATAATATATCCTAGTTGCAATGCCTTTTTAATAAATTTGATAATTCAATCATTTTTCGCATACTATTATGCAAAAATAAACAATTTGCCTCTCCTCCACCCAAAACAAATTTCTCTATAGGAGTATACGCCAATGGTTGAACATTCAAATGTACTACAAATACATGCCTCTTTGATGCAAAGAAGTGTAGCGATTGTTTTCATTTCCCATTGAATCAACAAATTAGTTAACACAATGCTTATTAACAATCGTTAAAATACCTTACAGCTCAAGCACACACTTCTATGAAAATTGCCTTAAAGACTAACCAACAAATTGATTATATTGGTGCTATAACAATCCATTAATTCTTTTCAGAATGAAAAATAAATAAATACCTGCCACTTGATAGAAAATAATCCACTGTATTGATCGAGTACTTTTGTTACATCACTATCGAAGTTTGTATAAAAATGTGGTATTAATTCAAATGTTTTTTATATTTTTGTAATTTCTACAACATTTTTTTTATTCTATTCGTTGAAAAATATGAACTGTTCGTTGATCTCTGGATTCACGTGTTGATAAACACGGCTCTGATCAGTAATTTTAATACATTCAAATAGCTTCAAGTATTATTAAATTTATTTTTCTGTAAGCTTTGATGAAATTGCATCATTTCTTTACATGATAAAACTCGTGTTCATGCTTCATCTGTTATAAAAAAATCCCAGTAATACCTACCATAGATACAATTCAATGGAAATATATCAACCAGAATTATGATTTCGATTCCACTTAAAACGGGTTGAAGATAACGTCGAATCAATTAATTATCAAGTGAATTTTTCAATTCAAAGTTGGCTTCGAAGCATTTCGAGTCTTTTGATAAAATTCCCATCTATACCACAGTTTTAACAGAAGTAATAGTAGTGATATTCTTCTAATCAGAATAATATATTACGTTCTCTCTTAAAACGAGTTGACGAATGCATTGAATCATTAAATTATCAAATTTGAGATTCCTACGAGAATAAAGAAAGCTTACAATAATTGTCAAAGATTTGGCCTCCGCGCCAGGATGAATCGCTAGTTCGCTAATAACTTCAAACACATTAATTTGGGATTGATATTCTTACTAATCTTTGAAAAACAGTTTCATCAAATATTATTCGGATTCACAAGGCTCTCAAAAACAATGCCAATCCTTCTTAGGCCTCTCAAAAAACAATTTCATGACTTTTCTATGTTGATATTCATGAAAATAAGATATTCACAGATATAGTTCAACATTTCTAGATTGTTGATGAATGAGCACAATGTGTTTCAAATCGAACGAAAGTTTCCAATATCAACAAGTTATGTTACCATTATTATTATAGTCATGTTGTCTTAAAAACGTACAACAGAAGAGCTTAGTTTCCAAATAGCATGTTTGCAGTCTACTACATAAGTGTTTTCATAATCGTGTTTGAAATTCGCGTACGGATTGACCCACTAACATTTTTTCTTCCAACTTTCATCAAATTTTCAAAGCGATAAGATCGGGTTCCTCTCTTAGAAATAAAAAAATTGATGCTTTGTCAGTGAATGTGTGAATCAACTATTGGACAACCGGAAGTGAAAGAAAAATGTTCCACTTGAAGGGCATGCATGATCCGGAATCATCAGTGAGAATTTACGATTTTTTTTTCAGAAATTGCGCTAATACATCTCGAAGAAATGCCGAGAACTGATTTGAATACTTTCTTCCTATCTTTAGGATTTCGTTAACGCTATGATTGAGATTCCACTTTCCGACACCTTTGCCTTAAAGTGATCGAGTTTTATTATAAAGTAACCAGATCTGTGCCAGAAAATGGATAAATCATCAATTCAGTTTTTCGTCGAACAAATTTATATCATCAAAATATGATATACAAATGAGGCGACATTGTTTATTAATGAATAATTGAGCTGGCCAAGGACCACAGAAAACATATTTCTCTGATCAAAATTGAAATATCCTTGGGTTGAATTATTTGTAAAAACACATTATAGTTGGCGATAAATTAGCATAAAAAACTCACTGCCTTCGTATGAAAAAAAAACACTAAAACAAACATTCATACCATACTTAATCGATTCAAATTTCAGCCAAAGGTTTCTTTCAATGGAAAAGGGAGTGGGAGAATTTCAGGGAAAAAACCTTTAGGTTTCCACTTGTTCATTATTGTACAGAAAATGAGAAACTCATGAGGAACGGTTTTCTACTTCTTCATTATTCACTTTTTTTTCGTTCAGTTTATAATCCACTCGTAATAGAAACAAATATCATTCAAAAGAACGGTACATACCAAAAATATGAAAGTTACAAGAAAAACTCTCAATCTCAACCTTTTTGTTAACTTTGTAACTTCAAAAGACGATTCCGTGCCAAACTTTACGAGTTTATTCGCCTCATCGATGAACTCGTTAAAAATTGAAGATGAATATTGAACGAGATGTATTGAAATTCATGATAATAATTCACTCAATAATGACTAACTAAAAAACTAATCAACAGTTGCAAAAAATTGATTTACTGTTATGCACACCCCTAACAAACGACCTTTATATTTTGAAATTCCTTTTTCAATTCCTCTCACCCTTCTGACTCGCTTTCGAAATTTACAAAAGTTCAAAAGCCTTTCAAAACTCACCGAAAATGTCCTGCATTTGAAACAAGTGAATTCGTTGATAAATCCTGTGTAGGTATCCCTTCCTTTACTAGCAACTAAGTTAACAACGGCCGGCACCATACTGTTTTGGTTTACGCACATCTTAGCCCACACAACCAACGAAAAAAAAAGTATCTTCACCGAAAAGTCAATATTAATAATGTCAACGCGACTGACGATAATAAAAACTGTGAAAAATAAGCTTGCCCGTACTAAAATGCGGTCTCTTCATCACTGATTTCACTCGGGTTGTACTCGGCATAGATATTCAGAACTTTTACGTCACCGAATGCCACTTCCACGGCAAGCTTCGACGGTGATGTCTACCAGAAATCGAATGTTTTATTTAGATTTGTTGGTTTGCGCGTTCGAGGCGGGATTTAGGGATATATTCTCTACAGCGTATTAAAAAGAAGAAATTTCGGGAATGATCTACTTGGATAATTTCCGGAATTTCAAATGATACGTGCGAAATATCATTGACTTTTGTTGAATGATGTGAATCTTCAATAACTTGATTGCCAATCTTTTTGTTGATATTCTTCTTTGTTTTATTTTCATCTGCGAATTCATATACAATTTTTTCGCAAGGAACTGCTATTATTGCATTAATTTATTATCCTAATTTGGAACAGGTCAATAAGGATCATGAAATGAATATGGAGAACGTACACTCCAAAACGCAATAGGCAAACCTCCTTCAGGACAGTCCTACATCCTTCTTGTTGAAAGGACTTGAGAGGATACTGGACGGACACATGAGGAGGGTGGCATTATATGCATCCCTCCTGAATAAACACCAGTATGCTTATCAAACCGGCAAATCGACGGATTTGACATTAAACAACCTTGTAGAGAAAATCTCCCAATCCCTTGGCAACAAGATGATTGCGGTTGGTGTATTTTTCGATATTGCACTACCTAAATCTGTTGTAGGATCGTCTATGCCTAGAAAAGGTATAGAATCGACCATAACTGGCTGGATCTATGCCATGCAACTACGACTCTTCAAGGCGAGGCTATCAGGTTCAGGGTCACCAGAGGCTGCCCTCAAGGTGGGGTACTATCTCCCCTTCTGTGGTCGCTCCTGGTGGATAGTCTGCTTGATGCCCTCGACAGAAAAAAGTAAATCTGCAAGCTTATGCAGATGAACTTGTCATATTGGCAAGGTCCACGTCGGGAAGCATAGCTTGTAATATCCTCCAAAGCACGATGGACGTTGTTCACAGTTAGTGCCTGAGGGAGCAGATGTTTGTCAACCTCAGCAAAACTGTGATAATCCCCCTCACCAGGAAGAGAAAATTGGACGATCTAACGGCACTTTCTCTCAATGATGAGGTCATTCCATCTGGAACGGAGGTGAAATATCTTGGCATTATATTTGATAAAAAACTCACCTGGAACGCTCACTTCGATAAAGTTTTACACAAAGCCAGATTATTTCTATGGACATGTCGAACGATTTGTAGTAAAACTTGGGGTTTAGGTCCCAAAAATCCATTGGATTTATGTCAGACCAATGATCACTTATGGTGACCAAGGCTTTACAGAAAACGGCCCAGGCGAATCTCTCTGGCTAGACAGGCTTGTCTGGCCATCAATGGTGCCATCAGTACCACACCGTCAGCGGCCATGGAGATCCTTCTAGATCTACCTCCTCTCCACATTTTTCTGGAGAGAGAGGCTAGATGGACTGCGTATAGACTTGTGCATATTGACAATTGCAAAAATCAATTTAATGCAGAGTGCAACAGACTGTTGGTTGACACTGGAAGTCACAGCATTCTGGGAATGACCTCTGACTTTATGCCTCCAACTGTCAACTACGAACTACCTTATAAAGTACTGTTCCCCAGTAGAGAAGACTGGATCCCCGGGAGAAGGATAGTTGTTCCTTCACAGATGGATCAAAAACACCTTCCGGTTCTGGTGCAGCTTTTTTCAGTGGCAGACCCAGGACAGAGATATCAACCTGCCAAGGAACCTATGCGAATGAATTTCAATCGGAAATTTACGCTATTGAATCATGTGAGGAGAGACTGGAAGAATCCAACTTCAAACACAAGTCAATAAAAATATTATCGAACAGTCAAGCGGCGTTGGCAGCTCTTGTCTCCTGCCGAGCAACGTCTAAATTGGTAGCAAATTGCCATAAACGCCTCTCCTCGATAGAAAGACTTAACAGACTGTCTCTGGTCTGGATTCCTGGCCAATCCTGGGCTGACTCCCTTGCAAAGGAGGGTGCTGCAAGCAGCTTCATCGGACAAGAACCTATCATTGGCATCGCTTTAGGCTTTGCCAAACAAAAATTGAACACCTGGATGGCAAGAAGATATATGGACTTCTGGCAGAATCTTCCAGCGTTGGCTCACTCCAAGGCGTTTATTCACCCTTCGAAGCTTGATATCAAACAGTTGTTGGACTATAGTAGGGATGAACTACGATGTCTAACAGGCCTTTTTACAGGTCACTGTCGTCTGAATCATCATATGCAGAGAATCGGACTGTCAGAAGACAGTATGTGTCGCCTTTGTTTGGAAAATGATGAAACAGCAGAGCACATACTTTGTGTCTGTCCCGCTGGGGACCGAATCAGGTTTTTAGAATTCGGCACAGCCGCACTCTTACCATCTGACCTGAAAGACCACTCACCATACAAACTAATCGGCTTCGTTAAGAAGCTGGGTTTATTTAGACGAGTGTGAATAGGTGTGAGCCACAATAAACCCTTGCGGGTTGCGGTGGAGGGTCGAATAGGCCCACTCACTTTGGACCTAACCTAACCTCCTTCAGGAAGTTAGTTATTGGACCTGCTGGCATATGACCGTATACCTTCAACAAAGGTTTCTGGTTCAGCAGTACAAATCGCAGAGATGCTGCCGCGAAACTGAAGTCACCACTACACCAGAAAAATAAATTTAAAAAATGTAGTCCGAAAATACGTCAGTCTACTTGGGGTTTGTTCTCTGAGATGTCAGTTGAAGTTGGGTAAATTGGGTAAATTAGTTCAGAGAACTAATTTACCCAAAAATATAGTCTTTCATTAAGCGCTATCTTCAAATTTGAATAAAACAAAGTGTGTGTGTGAAACTTCATCGAAATTTTTTATTCGTTGCCATAACGTGTGCAATATAACATCGTTCAAATGTCCGCCACGGCTTCACTGGGTGGAGCGCAAGCGAAACGTCGAATCTTCCATGAATTGGTGCATAAATCAGACTGAATTTGACCGATGGCATGGATTATGTTCGCTTTGAGGACCGATGTGCGCTATGGCCCCACAAGAAAAAGTCCAACGGGGTCAAATCGAACGATCTCCGTGGCCACTTCACATCACCCCCACGTGAGAGGACCCTGCCTTAAAAACTGCTCGTGCAGAATTACCAATGTGGCACGTAGTCCGTCCTGTTGAAACCACATATCGTTGATATCCAGATCATCCAATGCAGGCCAAAAGCAGTTGGTAATCATCGACCTATAATCGACATCGACAGTGATGGCCTGGCCAACGTCGTTCTCAAAGAAATATTGACCGATGACGCCGCCAGCTCAAAATCCACAACAAAAGAATAATTTTTTGAGACGGTCTTGGATCTCATGTGGGCTCAGAAATGGGCACATCGCTGAAGATGATTTTTTGATGAAAATAAGTTAAACTTCAACTTTGCATAAAACTTGATACAACAATCATTGGAAGAACCAATTTTTACATTTTTTTCAATATTATATTCCTAAAATGAGATGAAAACTTTTTTGTTGTCACAATGATTTTGGGGGGTTAAAATTGATACCAATATGTCTTGGTACAGTCATGTCGATGGAATTGCAAAGGCTGCTGCTCAAAAGCTTGAAACACTGTTCTGAACCAGAAAACTGTACAGACATCAGCAACTTTTGATGTTTTATAACACTTTCTTTTGTTCTCATTTGTGGAGCTCCGCCCCTAAGCATACTATTAAGCTGCTGGATTCCATCCAGAAAAGAGCCATCCGCCTGATTGGAGACACGAGCATTAATTGCAACTGTGGCTGTCCATCGTTTTGCGGTTCAATTCAGTATACCTCAAACTTCACTGTTTAATAAATCTTTCATTACATATTTATTTCACATTACTTTTTTTAACATACTTAGTTGACCCTGTAAATGGTTTTTAACTGTTGGGTAATAAAGGCTATCATAATTATTATTGAATTTCACTAGTTCGGACTTCCATTGTCTACTATATAAAATGATTTGAAATCCCTGAAACAACTAAAAAAGAAGAATTAAAAATGAATAGTTGAAAATAACAATTATATTAAGCAACAATAAACCTGAAATGAAATGATAGTGAAATNATGAAAGTTAATTTCTCTTAAAGCAAAGAAAGTTCAACTGCATTATGTTGAATAGAAATAACCAAAATGATAAATTTGTGGATTGAAAAGAACTTTGGAAGGGTACAACAGATATATTATTATATAACCTCGGAAAAATTATATTGACAAGTGAGTACCAAATTCTGAAATATATGATATTAATTAAACATAACATTTCGAACAAAATATACTACCACATCCAACAACAAAACGTGGTGGCTGATAATTGGCGAAATAATAGTATTTTCTATACAAAGTCTTGTGAAATTTATAAAATGAATCAACGAAAAATTGTCCCCAGATTCCCTTCAAATTATCAAAACATTCCAGATTCGAACTAGCCAATGAAGAACGACTAGTAATGTCGAATAACAACGTAGCAGACTTGTGACGTCAATAACTACTGTGAACTTTTTTTGACGTGATGTATAATCGGTTCTACTTTGAGTAAGAATTTTGCAGTACATGAATTTTTGTTTGAAAAAGCGAATAGGGGGATGTTATTGGCATTTGAGGGGCAATAGAGAAATGTGCCACATTGATAAGAACTTATCATTTTCTTCACAGTGACAGGATTGTCACAGATCACAAGTCTAGATCTGCCATTTTGATTTCATAACCAATAGGTACCTATGCTTGATTTTGATTGAAATGAATACTCCCTTTCTTTTTTCACTCCTTCATTTCCATTTTACTTTCAAAAACATTTTTCAAATTTGTGAGTAGAAAGCAGAATGGAAATCAAACAGAACTTCACGATAACTTTTTCAACCAATCCAAAAGCCCAAAATTATGACAGCATGTAACCTCTTTTATCATTTAATGTGTTCAGTTTTATTTGTTGTATTTCCTGAAAATAATCAAAAAGCATAAACTTGAATGAATATTTTTTGAAGAGCAACAACAGGTTGACGTAAAACATATTTT